AAAAATGGGAATTATGAGGGAAAAATGAGGAAAAAATGGGAAAAATGAGGAAAAAAAGGGAAAAACGGCACCTGGAGGAGAATTTTGGGGAGAAAACGGCGAAATCGGAGCGTCCGGAGCAGAAAATGGAACTTTGCGGTGCCAAATTTGGGCGTTTTGGGCCCAAAACGGGGCCTGAGGGGCGGGGAAGGGGCGGGGCTTAGCGGGGGAGGGGGCGGGGCTTGGTTTTGATTGACACGCCCATACCACGCCCGCTAATTTGCATAATTTTGGTTTTTTTCTTTTTCCATGTTTGGCCCAAAAAAGGACCCCGGGATCAGGGGCCCAGGCACGACCCAGGTAATTAATTAATTGATTAATTAAGGGTTAATTAGTGGTGATTGAGCTGTTAATTAATGGGGTAATTAGGGATTTAATTGGGGTAATTAATGGGGTTTAACTGAAGAGTTAATCTTGGTAATTAAAGGGGTTAATTAGGAAAATGGGGGATTTAATTGGGGTAATTAACTGGAGTTAATTAAAGAATTAATATTGGTAATTAGGCAATAGTTATAGGGCAATTAATGGGGGTAATTAGGGGTAATTATGGATTTAATTGGGGTAATTAATAGAAGGTAATTATGGGGATAATACTTATAAATTAAGGGCTTAATAGGGTTAATTAAGGGGTTAATTAGTGATGGTGAAGGTAATTAATGCGGTTAATTGAGGTAATGGATGTTTTGGGGAATGAATGGGGGTAATTAAAGGCATTAATTAAGGGTAATAAGAGGTTTGATTAAGGGTAATTAATGTTAATTAATGGTGATGAAGTGGATAATAAGGGATGGGTTGAGGTTAATGAATGGGGGTTAATTATGGGGAGGGGCTTTAGGGGCCATTTGTAAGTCTGAAGTGTCGTTAACAAGGGTTAATTAGCACTAATTAATGTTAATTAATTGTTAATTTTCAGGTGAGCAGGATAACAAGACCATCTTGGGGTGGGGGAGGGGCTTTGGCCATTTCTGAGCCCAGTGGTGGGGATAATGAGGGTTAATTAGCACTAATTAACACTAATTAATACTAATTATTAATATTGTTAATTAATTTCCAGGTGAGCAGGACAATTCTACCTATTTTGGGGTGGGGGAGGGGCTTTGGCGGCCATTTCTGAGCCCGGGGTGGAGATAACGATTAATTAGCACTAATTAGCGCTAATTAATGTTAATTAATTATCATTAATTAATTTTAGGTGAGCAGGACAACTCAGACAACAACACCATCTTCGTGCAGGGGCTGGGCGAGAACGTCACCATCGAATCGGTGGCGGATTATTTCAAACAGATCGG